GGGGGCTATGGGCAGTCGGTGATAGAGGAGCTGCATCTACCACTGCAGGCAGCACTACTGCAACCCTCTGGGGAACACATTTCTCACAATGTCAAGGGCTTCAGAACCGCAAGTCGCGTAAGACAAATCCTCACTTGTTGACAGCAGGAAAACAGAAACCTCTCATTCTATCCCACGCATCCCTCGATCTCTCCCAGTCTCCGATCCTGTCTCCTACGATTTCCTGCGGTGGACGCGGACGACCAAGACGAAGGTGAAGAGAAGGGATCCTATCTATGACAAAGCCAAGCGTGAACGAACCGGCGCATCGCCAGTTATAGTCGGCGTCCGAGAAGAGATGGATGGATCAGCACAATGGAGTTCAGACTTATTTTCCAAAGACTGCATGCATTCGCTATCAATGCGGGACGAGGCGAGGCCAACGACGACATGGAATTGATCCCTCCACCTCGACTCGAAAGCGAGAGAACAACACCCTCAATTGTGAAGCGACCAACTTCTCAGCACCGTGGCTTTACTTTCAGCCTCCTTGCACGCGGTTGTCTACCGAGTATCGGACAGACCATCGATCCCCAAAGTCGCACAATATGGAAACAATCGCGAGCCGATGGTATGGCCGCCGCCGTGCAGGAGGAGGGATGAGTGGTCGCGCGAGCCCAGCAGCTTTCAAGTCCGCAGTCAGATGGCACACGATGATGCGGCAGGGCCAGTCGTCGCGGAGTCTGATCGAGTGTTCGGTCTCGGTGATCTCGCTCGGCCGCGAGTCTGCGAGGCGTTTCTGAAGCGAGCGCTGGTCTTGGAATTGTAGCACCGAAATTCGATCAACACGTCAATCTCGTGCATCGATCGTCGATACCTGTACAATCGATAGCAGGAGCCGTTGGCACAGAAGAGGCCTTTATTCCACGGCACGAGCACGTCTCTCACCACATCGCTGTCAAAGTCTTCAAAGAATTGCTCCGGAGCGTTGATTCCAAGCTCCCCGACGCCGATCACGAAGAGTCCATATCTTCCAAAACACTCGACGGACGATTTGGAGTCCATTTGCTTCTCTGGACCTTTCCAGCTGGATACTGTTTTACACGACGACTTTAACCAGACCGGTACTGGTTCTGAATGAGAGAAATCGGCCCAGCGAGGACTGCGGACAACCCACATGAAACTTAGAGGAGTATTTGGATGTGGCCAAAAAGGGTACACGTCCTCAGATCGCAGTCGGTCTGGCCAACCTCAACACAGTCCGCAAGCCACAAATTCGATGAACAAATCGCAAATATCTCGCTAAGAATAACATAGTCCTGGCAGCCTCTCCCTCCGCGCCGTTAACCAAATTGTCTTCCCCCGGACTGCGAGGCGTTTCCCGTTGCGGTGTGCGCCTACAGCCTAACTATAGAACCGCTGCCTCAACCCGAGGTACCCAGTTAGCGAAGCAGAAGAGACACAAGGTTGCAATTGGAGGGGGATCCTCAAGAGAAGAAACTGCCAGACTTTTGTTGTCGCTTTCTCTTCTTTGTGGCATAGTATGCCATACGCTTTGCGCGGGTTTCGCTGCCAAAGTCCCCCTTTCGTTTCCATCTTTTCCCTTTCGAACCTGCGGCGGCTGGCAAACGAAGAAGGACGACCTGGAATACTTCTGGATGGATGGACAACTACTGCATTAGTTTTTTTTTCGCTCGCCTGATATCACCATCGACAGAGACGAAGCAGGCCGTCAACAAAAACATCCAACACCAGGGGTGGCTTTTGCAGCGCTCACTGACGTCCGCACCCAAACTTGTCGGGGCCCCTTCCAGGTTACACAAGTGAACGAGGAAAATACACAAGTTCAGCTGGGCCTTATGTCCCCCTTGACAACCTCGATTCCACAGCCATCGCCGGCGAGTTCATCCAAGACATTCCGCAAGACGGGTCGCTCATCGAAAAGCTTCCGCAGGCCGCCTTCAGGCCCGCCATCTCCTGAAGCCAAGGCCAGGCCAGGTCTCATGCTTGTCGCTCATGGAACAACGCAGAGAGTGCCCTGACATGACAAGAACGCGGCCGTCGGTGCTCTCTTTCACAGTGTCATGAAAGGCGAGGCCGAGATGAATAAGTCGATCAGCACTTCAAGAGCCATTCTGTTATCCTCTCGGACGGCATTCGCCATGCCCTCGAATGTTGCTTGCGGCGAAGGACCCCTCCGGATGGGACCCCAGTCCTTGTTATCTGGCAGGCTGCTATCTCTGATGTCCAGGGCTCGGAGCAACAGCCGGAGGAGTCCGACATGTACGAAAAGCCCGCGGGCAGGTGATCTTTGGAGGGGCAGAGCCTGGCCTTGTTTGGCATTAGGGGTGGTTAGAAGTGCCAGGAAGGCCGGGAGCGCCTAGGCTTACCAGGCTCGGGGTCATGTTCCAACTACATCGAGCGACAGAAAAGCGCCGGGGATGGTACTCGTCGAGGGTGGATATCGCACAGGACGAGGTACATGCCCATTCCCACATCCTCAGCCCCCGGGGTATCGCATTTCTCTTGGCTAGCTTGAACCGCCATCAAGTATGTTTGGATCCGCTCGAGGACTTAGCTGCTGCTGTCTCATGCTGGCTAATTTCTGGGATCACCGCCGAAAACCTGCTTGTACGACGTTTGCCAGAGCTTCAGTCGAGGCCTTATCCTTTTGGCTCACGCCCCTCGTCTTCGAGGCAACAGCGCGGATTTCCTCGCCGGAGCTGGGATGGATGGGTCTCGGTTTCTACTACATCAAGGGCAATGCCGCATGGCGCACTCTGCTGGGGCTCCAGCTGGCTACGGCCACTTTCATGCCGATTGCCTCGTTCTGGATGCCCTTCTCGCCTCGGTGGCCGATCATGAAGGGACGAAGGGATGAGGCCCTGGAAGTGCTCCAGAAGCTACACGAGGGCATCGATGGATACGAAGAGACTTTTACGTCAAGGAGTTCCACCAGATCAAGACACGGTATCGGATCTACAAGGCCAACAAGCTCGGCCTCGTCGCCATCTTCAAGAAAAAGTCGTACCGCAAACGCATGTACCTGATTTTGTTTATGAGCTTCTGCCAGTTCACCGGAATCATCCCGCTCCAGAAGTACCAGGTCACAATCTACACGAAGCTGGGTTTCACCAATGTCTTTAGCCTGATCCTGACAGGAATTTTGGGGACCTTGGGTTGCTTGTCTGTCGACGATTACCGCCAGTCAAATTGTCGACAGGCTAGGTCGATCGACGCAACCAACTTCCCTGTCTTCTGTACCGGACGTGTCATCTGATGACTGGCATCGCAACAGGAACTATCTTTCTGTGTGTGTCCGACATACGCTTCCGAGATAGCGGACTCCAGAGATCAGAGGGCGCGTTGGCTCGCTCTACGCGTTCAATGTCAACTTTTGCATACATACCTGGGCCTGCAAGCTCTACAGCAACAAAATATGGAGGAGTGCCTACGGCTGAAAACCCTCTCACGGCGCGCCCTTGGCCCCCAGTACAGGCGACATCCGCTTCAGAACGCGCCGCACCGCCACGAGGTTCAAAGTGGAGAGGGCGACGCTGTCCTTGACGGGCGGAGCCAAATCCTGGTCGATTTCCGCCTTCATCTTACGTTCGCCGTCATAGGCGGAGACATCGACGCTGACTGCTGGACCCACCGCCATCATCATCTTTTCGTCCAATCCTCGGGCGGGCTGGGGTTGATATCAACTCGGGTGATCTGGTAGCCAGCCAGTGGAACCGTCTCGTCTCGTCTCCAGCGCCAGAGATCAAGAAAGGACTCGGCTTGTACGGATGTCTCGAGTGCTTTGCGCGTCGACCATTTCCGTAGTTCACTGTCAGACTAGTTCCATTGGCCGGCGAAAACGACCGTTCAGCCATAGGTGAGTGGTCTATCACTGGAGCCCTTGAAAGGGTGAATTCAGGATTGGCCGAAACCCGAGATGCTTTCAGCGCCTCGGTGAGGATGAGGTCTACGGATGATTGGCCCTTGGCTAAGATTCTATCCAGATTTCTAGAGGTAAGCCGGGACCGGCAGCCGTCGTTTTCTTGACGTGACCGATCCTCGGTATCCTCCTCTTGAGCGGTGTATGACATAGCCTCGGGGTGGTAGTGTCTAATTTAGGCACCCGAGCGAGTCGTGTTGCGGAGGAGGCCGCCATTGTTAAAACCCTGGCTGAAGAGCGTGAGGACAGTTTCCTAGGTGATCAGCTCGCACACTGCGAGATGGTGATTGTCGGTTGGACCGTGGAAAGGCGGCGGGTGCTAGGGAACAAAGATGAGATGATCTCATCAGGGCACAGGAAAGACACAAAGCGGCCTTGACCGCCGAGATTGAGACGTTGAAATCCACAAAGACCGTACAACCGGACGTACGCGGGTCAAGACGACAAAGCTTACAAAAGATGAGAGCGACGACGGGTCCTTGCCATTTCGGCAATCAACCGCCCTGCCCGGTCCCCCGTCATATTGTTCTGGAACCCGATCTGTCGCAAGTTGCCCCCGGTTCACCAATCGTTCCGCCATCGCTCTAGCAAGCTTTGTACGAGCCTCGATGACTTTGTCGTCCTGTACGCCTTTGCCTTTGCCTTTGTCAAGCTGGAATTTGCCCAGTTCGAACGAGTTTGCGACCTGTGTGAGCACGCACGGTAAGAAATTAGCAATCCCGCGGGCACAACGAAACGCTCTGTGGCTTTGGCAGGGCAGTTACATTTTCAGCCCGTCAAAGAGGTTGAATGTCTTCGAGCGCGATTGAAGACCTTCGAAACCGAGCAAACTATCTTGATGGACAACCAGAACTTGGATGCACAACGCCCGGAGCAAATCAAGACCCTGGAGAATCCTGGTGGATCAATACAAAGCCAAAGCGCAGACACTCCACTCTGATCTTTCGAAACTTGAAGCTGCAAAGGGAAGTCGAACTGGCAAGGATATCGGGAACCAGATCGGCTGTCAATTTGCGCGAAAGATGGTTGGAGAAGGAGAAGGAGACAACGGAGCTGCAGAGGGTCTGTCTGCACCTCGCGGGAAAAGACTGATCTGGGTCGTCGACCTTGGGTAAAGAGACGCTGGAGGCGGTGGCGGATGTCCGAGGGTTTATGAGACACCAGCAGAGGTCCCCGTTATGACCGAGGCATTGTCCTCTAAATGGGCTTTTATTGGTGTAACTTCGAAGATGGACGATGGGGAGGGCTGGGAGAGCGTTTCACGAGCCGTGGACATTCGAGAAAGCCTCAAGAAATGGCTCCCCTTGACTGGGGGATGACAACAAGGCGCCAGGCTATCGAATACATTTCAAAGACACGATACGTCCATCCAGCATATACTTTGCACCGCGAAGCACGCCACGGCACTGGACACAGACACCCGTGATGAGCAGCACCTCAGAAGCGTCGAAGATCTTCAGTGTACCTCCAGCCTATGTTCTAAAGGCTTCTGAGAAATGCCTGGGATGCGCGGCCGACACGAAGCTGAGATGAGCCTCCACGAGACACATCCAGAGGCAGCTCAACTGCAGGAAAATTGTCGCAACAAAGACGCTTTGTAGGGCCACATTCGGCCTGGGACAGCATATCCATCAATCCCTTCGAACAGGTTCCTGACCTGGCCATTTCTCGGTCACACTCGCTCGCCAGCCAGCCAGCCAGCCAGCTCCGATCCCAGACGTCCTACATCCCAACGTCCTCTTTGACGGTACCATGTCTGCCCGATCCACACACAGGAGAAGAGAGGGAAAGGAAATGCAAACACCAACACACAAAGGGCCAAAGGGCGCCAAAATCTGCCCAAGGTTGGGTAGCGAGGAGGATGCAAGGGCTCAAGGGCGCAATGCGAAGCCGAGGGTATCAAGGAGCAAGGACAGCTCCCGTCACAGAACGGAACCTTCACGGTCACAAATGTCGAATCACCGATGGGAGTTGTTATACCAGCTTCGGTGCAGCAGATTCGACCGAACCCGAAACAGAAAGATTGGAAAATTCCGTGGGAGAATGCACTGACGCGGCACGCCGGAACTTTCCCAAAGCTATGGCATTATATCACGAGTAGTGACCACATGGATGACGATTTGTCGGCCCTTTGGGCTACCGGAAACTTAACTCGCCATCCACGGTAGGGCTTTGGCCCCAGAAGTCGAGAGTCGAGAAGAGCCGAATTCACTCCCGGTATACGCAATACAGCAATACGGGGTCTTACAGCAGTACGGGGTCTTTCAGCAATATACGCGAGCAGACTAAGAGCTGGCAGTCCATACACATCCCATGGTACGGAGATCCTATGGCAACCGACCTTATGGCATGGAGATCTGACTGTATGGTCAGTGGTCTCTTCGGGGCAGCAAGCTGGTTGGAAGCTTGTGTGGCGATAGAGGCCAGGGAGTTGCCACGATGCGGCATCGACGTCGATATCTTCGTTCAGTCTCTTGGTACCCAGTCCCCGTCAGAATTCCGTCTCCAGTGAGGCAGGAAATCCGGCCAAGGCCAAGGCATTAACTGATGACTTGAGCCAACTCAAAAAATACCAAGTCATCGTGCTCACAACCACATCTCTGAAAAATCAACTCACGATTTCCGATTATTGCCACCAGAATGGCATTTACCTGGTGATTGCTGACACGTTTGGTCTATTCGGCTACATCTTCACCGACTTTGGGAAGGACTTCACAGTGGGCGACATTACCGGAGAGAATCCTATCAGCGGCATTGTAGACGATATTGATGAGACTGGTCTGCCTGTCGCCCCTTGGGTGCCTGGTAAAGTGGTCAAACCAGAGGAGACTGCCTACTACTTTACCGGGAGAATGGGAGAGCGTGTATCAGATGTCATGAACTGCTACAAGTTAAACTGGCCTACGCCACTATCCTCCAAGTGCACGGACACCAGATGTGCTGTCAGCTTCTACACCGCTGAAGACTTTGAGCAGTTCAGAGCGTCACCGAAGGCGAGCTGCTCTCCTTTGCTGCTCTCCCCGAAGGCTTGGAATCCCAAGGACCAACTACAATAAACGACTATCCCAGCTTGGACATGACTTCTTTGCATTGAATGCATCCAGCACGCTATCACGAACCACGACTGGATCTTGTTTCGTGGCTCCGAATGTCCATCAAGCTTCTTGGGCAACGAGATTCATCCAGCACGCTATCACGAACCACGACTGGATCTTGTTTCCTGGCTCCGAATGTCCATCGAGCTTCTGCGGCAACGAGCAAGACTTTGAACCAGACGTCTCGATCGGTTTTGTGGCGTCTGTTGCAAGACGTTCAACCGAATGAGTCTCGACACCAGCCCACAACTAGGAAAAAGGATTTGGTTGCCGCAATGGCAGATTGGTTTGGTTTGTTGAGCTCTTTTCTGTCTGAAGAGAGAGGAGGAAGAGTCCTAGTGACTCGATCTACCTGAATAAAAGAGGGGAGAACAAATATCGGGCTAGTCCCAACCTGGCCTAGCGCCACACGTGACAACCCTCTTCCGTTGAGCCCTTAACTTTCCAGAAGAGTTTCGCTCATTCAGCCACCAGGGCAGCTTTTGCTGCAGATCCGACGCTCGGACATTCCAGGTGACTTTGGTACACGGCAACAGCGGCCGCCAGACCTGAATGACGACGATTTATCTTCGCCAGAGAGATAATTGTCTCGACGCGACCTGGCGCTCAAGCGCCCGGCAGTGCGACAGGTGACCTTTGCCCTTCTCGACGGCGGTCACTCCGTGTCTGACGGGCATTGTCAACCTGAAGATGGATGCGCTGCTGGAAGCCACTCGCCAATAACGCCCGCGTACGAGATGTCGTCGGTGTTGCCGTTTTGTGAAAAGGTTGTGCGAAAACACAACAGGCGCTCGTGTTACAATTCTAATCCCATTTGAAGGGTACATTCCATTTGAAGGGTACATTCCATCTGACATTCCATTTGGCATTCCATCTGAAGGGAGCAGTCCATCTGAAGGGAACATTCCATTTGAAGGGAACATTCCATTTGAAGGGAACATTCCATTTGAAGGGAACATTCCATTTGAAGGGAACATTCCATCGAGTAGGGCACATTCCATCTGCTATTCCATTTGGCATTCCATCTGACATTCCATTTGGTATTCCATCTGAAGGGAGCAGTCCATCTGAAGGGAACATTCCATTTGAAGGGAACATTCCATCGAGTAGGGCACATTCCATCTGCTATTCCATTTGGCATTCCATCTGACATTCCATTTGGTATTCCATCTGAAGGGAGCAGTCCATCTGGCAGGTAACATTCCATCTGGCTGAGTACATTAAAGTGCCTGGACCTCAACGGCTACATCTACATCTACATCTACAAAGAGGGTGAAGAATGTGGGTTTGACCTTGGCCCACAAGACTCCTGGAAACAACCTCAAAACCTCATATGAATACTCAACTGCCGAAAGAACGGGCGCAGAATGGTGCTGGGAAATTCGATCGGCCTGTGCAATGACAGAGCCCATCAGACAGATTTGTCAGTGGATGGAAGGAAATTCCTGGCGTGGAAAAAGTCTACCCTTCAATCCATTGACCTCACCAACGATGACGAAGAAAGAACCTGAAAACCACGCCGTGTTGGGAATCAAAGCCCCTTGATTCGACGGGGTCGTCCACATTCTTTACCGACGGGGGGGAAGCTGGTCGGGCAAGAAATTGAACCTTACAGTCTCATCACGAAGAAAAGCCATAGGTGGGAAGGCTCTCAACAACCAGGGCTCTCATGCAGCATTTCCACCTGGACCCTTTTGTCCTTTGTTTGCTTGTCCCTCTGCCATGTTCCTGTTTCACCCTGGATGATTGTCCCTTTCCGACGGACACTTGCGCAACAGGCGATGTACGTCATCCGATGACCCATTTACATTACTACCTACGGAGCATCCGGAACCTATTTTCCCTATTCTAGCTCCGGCGAGCCGGTAGAAAGGTCCCTTTATCTAGCGAAGCGTAGCTGAGCTAGTATTATAAGGGGAGAATCTACAGGCTGGAACGAGCTTGGTGGAATTTGCCTGTCCAGTGTACAGGATGACACTCCAGCCTCCTGTTTGGCTGGATCTCAGACTCTAGGTCTGAGGGTTCTTTTCCTCTAAGATCGTTCAACAGGATCAGTCCTTCACAGAAGACACACACACAATCAATCTACCAAGTATCTCAATCAACAGGTTGAGAACAGTGATCGATCAAGTCATGGAATCTATCTGATCGGGATCTTCGATGCTACTTCAGTGTTACTGTGCGATAGTCGTTACCCCCAAACACTATGCCAACCGCCGTACGAGTTGATGCCTCTGCCTAAGAGCCTCCCCCAGTTCGGTATTACGGGCAAAACTGAACAAAAGGGCGCTTTAATTAGTCAGCCTTATTCCGCGGAGCTTATCCATTAGTTATCAAAAACACAAAACACGGGACCTCGGATCATAGTTATTCCGCTCCGAATTTCACTTTCCACTTCACCTCCGCCACTCCCATCTCAGTTCCGTCAACACTTTCATCAATAACTCTACCAAAATCTCATCAAACTATCATCAAATGGGTTTCAATCTGTTTATCTGGCAACATATATTCGTCTGTGGAAAGCGCCTCTCAAAAATACCTCTGCGAGACAAGTTGTGGAGCCACGAAACTGACCGATTTACAAGCCACTTAAAATCGCCTCTTGCCTATCTGAAACCTGCTCCTCTCCCCCACTCAATCCTCGGCCCTTGAAGGCCCTACTGGCGTTGGTCAGAAAAGGTGGAACTGTGGCGTTACAGATCCTAGTCAGACTCGCGGTCAAAGCCGGGTTCCTTGGTGCGCCTCCGGACTCGGGCGGTCATTCGTCGCGGTTGGTCGAGCACAGGGTTCTACGATCGCTAGCAAAACACACACTGGCAACACACTCCGTCCTTGGCCCTTGAAGCCCTGCTAGCGTTGGTTAGAAAAGGTGGAACTCTGGCGTTGCAGATCCTGGTTTACTTTCGCCGAGGGCCGTGTTTATCGCCAAAGGTTTACACTCATCCCTAAACTCTTCCACTTGGATTGTATGTCTCTCTCTCGCGCGCGCGCGCGCGCTGGGCTCTAGGAGATTGTGACCTCCATCTTTTACTGGTGGCTCTTGTTCAAGCTGATTCGATACAGTCCCCGTTGTATTCCTGGCTGGCTCTCCACGCCCGAGTCTTGGACCACGTCAGATCTACCCGTCGAACCCCTCAACCGCATGCGCTTGCGACCGCCACGCTATCGAGGGTCAGACACGTTTTCTATGTTCCGAACAAGAACTATGATGCCACCATCCCTACAATCTCAATTCATGATGAACTACTGCCGTGCGGCTCCCAAACCGTTGCGGAAATGGAACCTCACAGTCTCATTCACTTACGCCACATCCAAAGGGATGGACACGAAAGCGCAATCTTATGAGAAAAGGCTACTGGCCAACATGCTCTTGCAGACTTGATACACAAGCACGCCTAATGGTGCGCTACACGTTTGAAGAACTACCCGAATGGTATCAAGACAATCACTTCACCAGGTCGGGATATCGCCTGGTGGGCAATTCATGGGTCACTTGTGTCTGGTTTCCGGGTCACCTGCACAACGAGTCGGTCAACATCTTCACTCATCTGGTACTTGCCTAGTTCGACTTCGTCCCGTCGATACGCCCACGAGTCACTGACAAAGTCGGCTTCTTCGACCTTGGTACCGAAGTAGGCACCGCTGCAGTTCTTGCGCAGGACGATGCAATTCGTGCCCTCGACGATAGAAGCTTTCAGAGGGGATAGTGACAACAACGAGCGGGAGTAGAATGTATACGAGCGAGTATTGGCGAAAGCGTCCAGGTGCTGGCGGAGACGCAGGAGACCAGATTCCAGGTTTAGCCAGGCCGTTCTCCTTTACGGAATGTCATTGTCGGGCGTTCAGCTTTTAAGTAATGAAACGCAACCAGCGACGAAAAGCTGACATTAAAGGGGGAATAAGACTTACCATCAGGTCCGCCCACACTCCCAAACAACACGGCATCGCTCTCTTCCTTTACAATCTTCAGCACCTCATCCGTAATAGGCGTCCCGTGCTTGTCGATACTGCATCCGCCGCGTATCTGATGGTTGAATTCGAACTTGAGCCGGCCCTGGGAGGCGATTTCGACAGTGTCCAGAACTCGCATTGCCTACCGAAAACCGAAACAGAAACTGACCAGGGCACGGGCGCGTGCACCAAGTATTCCCAAACTCCATGAGAAGAATCTCCCAAAGCTCAAACCTTTCGGAAACCCTACAGGCTATTGACTGCAACGGCGAAATGTCGTCGTACATCTGCGACCAAAGAGAGTACGAGTAACTCTGTTCTCCACGACCTTCGGTGGAAGTTTTGCAGTTCGAGTCAGAGTGTCGTGCACGATTTAGCCGATGGCATCCTCTTGAGAAGAAACGTGAGCAGGAAAAGCGTTCTGTTTCAGCCGTTGGATTGTCACTTTTTGGCCGCAGTTGGGTAATCTGCCCGAATCCCAAGACGTGCGCCGCCGGTGGACCAACGCCAAAGACCTGGAGGCCCCAGATGAGAAAGCCACAGTCCCACCAGCTTGGTGCTAGGGTACACACCTGACAGCTCCAGGTTGGTGCCATTGACATAGCCCGGAGCAAATTGCCATTCGGCTAGTTGACCGAGGACCGACCTAACAATGTTCACGGGCCAGAACCATCTCTCCGTCCTTCCCACTTCATGTTCCCTTACTTCTCGGCGACCACGACCGCGAAGCTCCAAACGACACCATGTTTTCTGGAGTCACCGGCGCCGAATTCCAATGGGGTGAAGCGGAGATACATGAGTCAGGAGATATCAGATATCCTATCGATCTCACCCTGACGTCAAGAGAATTGACTCAATCTGTCACGGAACCCCTCGTGCGAACACTCCGTGCGACGGCGAGTGATGCTGACGCAGACATTCTCGTACCAAGTCCTCGCACACACTTTAACAGTTGGCGAAAGGAAAATTGGCCTCGTGGATTGGTTGCCGAATACCCCAAAGCATTCAGGGAGAACCTGCAGGGGAGAAACACAATTGGGACGATCAATGCTGACGTCGTCTATCCCTATAAGACAAAAAGAGCTGGTATACTGAAGAGGGTACCTGGTACAAATGGGGGTCTGGCAAAGTCACAGTTACAACATCATACATCGGATTACACGCCATCGCACTGCATTCTACCACACTGCCCATTCATTCATTGATTACATCGCGGTGGTGAGACGCAGGCATGGGGGATCATCGTCTATGCGCAGTCAGATCGATCGATGCACCTTACGCGACAGTGACGACTTCTGTGTCAAGTCGACCTCCGCCTGCACTTCATTGCCATGTGCAGATGTGTGTGCATCGGGCACCTAGACGTTGTAGCAGACCGGCTCCACAACCAGACAAGCCGCAGGTCGACAAGGAAAAGAAAAGGCCCAGATCTCACACCGTCAGCCCCAGAAGGCTCAGCTGCGACGAGTACAGACTTCAGGGCGCCATAGAGGCTCGGCGTTGAGCCACTGGAGAAATTCAACCCCCCTTGAGAAGCGGAGAATCAGTGTAAAACAACACAGAAAAAACTAATACTACGCCATCCCCATCGCCATTACCATTACCTTTCACTGATACATGACAGTAAAATATAGTGTTGTTCACATTCGGTCATGAGCCACAATCGCCTCGCTACAGCGGAGAGGAATTGTATCGCCCAGCTTCACGCATAACTACCGACCACGAGACACACGAAGCGGTTAGAGATCGAACGCCATGCAGGGACTTGGTTTTGGTGGAGAGGCTGCATCGAAGTCTGCTGCTCCTCCACAGTGACCAGCCGATGGGCATCCATTGGTCCCTCGCAACATCCAGCACCAGGTCCATCTCCTTTCACATTCCAGAAGACTGTCTCTCTCTTCGCCTCTCATCGGATGGGGAGGGGCCTCAGCTACCTCCACGAGTCAAGCTCTCACGAACCAGTAGGGATGACTATCGAATGCTGTTACAGCTCTTCCACGAGACCTTTGAGGATACCAGGGCTACTCTACCAAGGCCTCCAACCATGCAATATGCTGTGCAGACTGGTTATTCCACGCGCGGGCAATGATTCAGTGTTCAGACACCAAGTTCTTCCGGCCATCAACCGGCTCGATAGCAAATTCGATTGATGCTCTGCGTTTTGATGCTGATCATGACGGGAGAATGCTGTACAGCGAATCAGGGCTTCTCATGCCTGGGAGATAGCTGATGCCATCAATCGGGAGAGCCTACTTAACCGGGGTAAGTTATCTATTTACATTGGTGTGCGTGTGTGTGTATCCAAACAAACGCCCTCGTTCGGTTTTTTCTTTTGTTCGGTTGGTGGTACAACATCTCAGAAATCGAGACGGCTGGACCTTCGTGCCAGCCATGACTACGGCTGCAATAGGCGCAGTCATAGCCTAGCAGAAAGAGCTATACTTGACCTGTCGCCACCCAGAAAGTCTTGTGAAGAAGAGAAAACACGCAACACATGGAAAGAGACGCGGAGAAAAAAGAACTCGACATTGTCGGATATATCAAACGCAGAGATCATGGACGCCAGGACAACCAGCGTCCTTCCAAGTCCCAAGCAGCATCGCTTTGTCGGGATCCTTCATGCGGCCCCAAGCCAGGAAGTCGTGGCTGAAGAAAACGATGGTGCTGATGAGGTTCTGGTCAGCAGACACGCAACCAGCAACTGGTCCCACGATGCGGCGAAATACGAATGGAAGGAAGAGTACGGAGATGTTGGCCAGCTCCTCCGTCTCCTCGGCATTCAGCTCGCTGAACGACTTGGGAAACGTCCCGATCGCATAAACGCTATTCCACCCGGTGACCGGATTTGTCCAAGTTGTTCGTTCCGGCTTCACTCCCGTCAAGCGGAGGTGATTCAAATTCGACCTGACCGTTCGTGGAACGCAATTGGAGGCGGTCCTGACACCGAAATCTCGCATTACCGAGCTGCCACTTCCCAATCCATCTTCCGCATCCAGACCGCAGTGGGAAACCTCTTTAGGTGTTCCCTTGACGAGGCTGCTGCGCGTGAGCAGCGCACACAGAGAAAGGCATTTGGATGCCCTCCTGAAGTCATCAATTACGGAGAAACTTTATTACACCCCTCTACACGTCACTGGCGCCTTGATTCTCCGCAGAGGTCTCCATACAAATTTGGTCGAGGGTGCACCGTATTGAAGAGTTTATCGTGTTGTTTCCATCGGTCGTCTGGGTCGCCAGCATCTCTTGCGCCTTTTCAAGAAAACCAGTGAAAGGCACCCCCTGAGGCATACTGACAGCATAGGGGAACGTGGAAGTATCTTCCATCAATGCCCCTCCTGCGCGTCTAAAATACCTGCGTGGCTCCTACAAAGAGACCCGCGAACTCCTCGGCGACATCAACGACCACAACCACACCTTTGAGCATATATCCTTAACGCCCTTCTGGCTGATGCTGAGATCCCAGAGGTCTGCAACAAGGATGACATCGAACTACACAAGACATTAATTCAATAGGGTGCCGGGTCGGGCGTCAGGAACAGGAACCTACAGTAGTTCGTCGACAACTAGTTTCTTTACTCGGTCCTGTGGACACGTCCTTTACATCCCCTCGACGAATACAATCTTTGGCAGATGTACCTCGATCAAGCTCGATATCAAAGAGAAAAACAACTCATCACCATAGTACTACAACGGCGACATTCTCTGGCATGGAACCGCAGCGGTTGGGCCGCCCTGCAGAGCATTATCAATTCATTCAGGCCACCCAATCATTGGTGCCTGTGACGGAGGTCCTGCTGTGTCTCACAGTTGGCCGAAACGACATCTGGGTACCGCAGAATTTGACTCCATACGGTGGCACTATCTTTTCACTATCAAGGAGACCGCCACTACGACGATATTGGCTCGTACGCTCAGCGAGAGGAGGCTGCTGCGTCTTCTCCATCCCATGTGACATTTCTACCGGCATCAAGGGTGAGTTGAGATGCGTTGGGGGGGTTGGGAAGTAATTTAGGGGAGTTGGCGGATTTCATCTCAGCGAGTTCGTCAAGCTCGGTCGACCCATATGTTCCTGCCGGCAACCGACATCGTCGTCTCCGGATGAAGACTGAAAGGGGTTCAAAATAACGAGGTTGATTGGCGTGCGTTCTTGAACGTCGTCCTTATCCGAGGACTCGTTTGTACTCACAGCGCAGCGAAGCCGCGCCACAGGAAGAGCATGGTCCGCGGAGGCTGTTCCCCAGAGCACCGCAAGAGATCAGTCCAGAGAAGTTTCGCCATTTTCTCGTCAGTATTATCCCTGACGACTTCTAAGGTCGAGTGTTGACAGCAAATCAGATCGAAGATATGTATCCTCAGAAAAGCCGGTGCCGCAACAAATCAACGAACGCAGGAAATTCTTTTCAACTCAAATCAGAAATGATTCTGATTTCTGTTGACGGCATAAATTCTATCTCAGACGATTATTTCTCGACGCCCTACGGTCCATACCGCTCAAAGGCACTGCTGCCCGGCTGAGTAAAATTGTTTCCAGACTTGCCAATCCAAAGTCTCATCATCCTCATCGACAAATTGCTCATTTCTACTTCCATCTGTTCTTCCCCGGGATGAACAGTCGTTGCCAAAACGGAAACCTGAATCGTTCTCCGGAGTTCGAAGGACGAGGAAAACCAGAAGTGCCCAGCTACAATCCGGTATTGACTGGGAACAAGCACACGTCTTGTTGCACCACCGCCGCCTCATCGGTCTCGGATTAGACACAAAGAGCACAGGGGAGCTCGAGGATCCAATTCAACAAGCGTCATATCGCATTCGCATTCAGACATATGATGCCCAAGTCGAACGGACTGAACAGAAATATGATCCCAATAGACTTCAACCACCGAATCCTAACGGAGTAATCCCGTGGCGGATGGTGCGCCGAAGATGAAACAGTATTAGAGTTGCAAGAAGGATCGTGTCCGGGGCGTTCCCATGCTTCAGATAACGTCGAGGGTGCTCATAATCAAGCAAATTCAGGTGTTCTGTATCGGATTGCAGTTCATCCTCGACGGGAGCATCTTCATCGATAGAGCATCCGTCACCTCTGTCCGGTACAGATACAACCTCTTCCCTCTCCTGATGATTTCTCCGGCCCTGGTCACCAGAATGGGTCTCGCGATCAGAACGGCGTCTGGTCATACCGGCAGATCAACGTTGCAAACGAACATGACTGAAGGATGACGTGTTTTGCATCTGGCAAAGAGCAGACGGCTGGTTCAATACGCCGCCCGCAGACGCCTTGAACGCGAGGACCGACACTGCCCAGAACCCGCAGTCCCGACCCACATACCACATAGGCACCGACAGGCTCCAGCGGCCAGGCGGGTCAGCTGGCATGAGACAGGGGCCAGGCAGCCACCGCGCTATCGGCTTGGCCCAGAGGTTGCCTTTTTCAGGAACCAATACCCTGAAAAAGGTTTTACTAAAGTGAAGCGGTCGGCGCCTGGCGCCTCATGCCTCAACAAGAAACCTCGCCAATGGCACACAAGCCTTTCGCGCCGAGCCGGCCTGAACCTGATTGCCACGTCACACACCGATGCCGTCAAAAGTTCCAGCACAACTTCGCATGACGAAAGTTCGCAGGGCGCGACCGAGGCATACACACGTACGTGGTTTGATGCAATTCTCCTTACACCGCCAGTTGCACGGCCGACGAAATGAAAATCTCCATCGCTACGCGGCAACCAAAGCCAGGCCCGACTATTTATTGATGGAGCAAAGGCCACTGTTTCATGGTGATAACAAGCAAAACAACAGGATGTTCGGCAAAATGCCTCCGCTTCTGGATGATCAAGGCCTCCGTTGGGTCAAACAAGGAAGAGTTGAAGAAACGAATGTGTTCATCTTTTCCCTCTGTCTCGATCCGGTTTCAGGCTATCTGGATGAAATTCAAAGGCCAAGCTGCGGCATCGCACGCGAAATGATGGACAAATTGAATGAGATCGCCAATACCAAAAACAGCCATCTGGTCATCGTGGCAACCTCGCACAGCACATCCTTTCTTTACGAAACTTCAAAGAAATGCCCACTCGTCCGTTTCGTCAACGCGGCAGAAATTATTCAAAACGGCAAGATCACCAAGATTGGCCTGCCTCCCAAGTGGCCGCCCTTCCACGACAAGATCAAGACAGAATTTCAAAATCATGAGCGCTACGAAGCTCATAAAAACCTTTTTGACGAAAAGATTGACTGGAAAGGCGAACCTCATCTCTTTCACATTTTCCCAAGAGAGGGGGTGCTGTTGAGTAGAGCCGAATGGGAAGTCTTTCTCGATGTGGTTGAGAAGGCGAGATTAAAGGAGTGGAAAACATCGGCGGCATACGACTCGATTGTCGTGCAGGCGATACATGATGCGACGGATCACGCCATGTACGTGTTTCATGACGAAGGATATGATGCTGATCCTGACGAACTAAGGAGGTGGAAGAATAAATTGACGAACAGGATCCGCTGGCCGCCGAATTACCTGAAGTTGTTCTATGACTGAAGTGAACTCGGATCGTTCAGTTGTTTTTTTTGCAATTCTGTGTCTTCATCGGGCCCAAGAGACGAAAGGTAACAGCTTCGCTCCATACAAGCGGGTGTCCAAATCCCTTTTGTGTGCGCCCGTCGGATATGGCTTCGACTGATCTGGTGGCTGGGGAGGGGCGAACAGTCGGTTCGTTCGACATGGCGAAATGATCGTCTCGGTGGAGAGGGATGGGGGGAGCAGTAGAGCGTTGCGGTTCCTGCACAAGACTTCCGACCTCCAGCAAAAACCGGCGCATCTATAGGTCGCGTCTCCTTTTTCAAGAATTTGAATGGAAGAAGATGAATATCCTAGATGGGTTTGAGGAAAAGATCCGTAAAACGAGGCTGTATCTTCTTTATCTTCAGACAAGGGAAGAACTCCTGGAACTGCTCAGAATCTGCACGAGGGCGATGACCGGATGCGATCCGCAGATCATTATCGATGGATATTTCAAACACGCAGAATCGTTGCAGTCCTGCAATTTTTTGATACCATGCCGGCGCAAGGACAAGCACAAAGAGCTTCGTACCGAGATTATGCGCGGACTCCAACAACTCGCGATTCCCTTGCTTGTGCAAGATTTCGCAGCCCGCATTGATGGGTTGGTGGGGAAGCACCGGACACCGCAGCTTGAAAGCGAGCTTCGTGCCCGCAAGACGAGATATGGTCTGAATATTGACGTTGCGGAGGCACGTCTCGCTATTGTATCTCGATTGCTCGAGCTTTGGGGGGCTCATGAAGATGAATAACTGGACGTAATTCTTGGTCGACATGGTATGTCAATGCAGTTGGTTTCACACCTTCAATATCCATGACGAAAAAAAGTTTGAGAAAAAACGATAACGTTATGAGTGTAAGGGTTTGGAAAAGAGTTCTGCGGCAACTAGCTAGGCAACCTAGTACCAAGGAGGATAAATTTGGGGAGAGAGGGGAAAAAGGGACAACGTCCTTTCTCTCTCTCTCCTTATACCGTACGCTCCTCGGTAAGGAATACCCATTGTCTTGCCCTTTTCTCCCTTTTCCTTCCTCTTTCGTACACACCCTGCATTTCCCCTCACGTCTTGTCTCTCTCTCTCTTCCTTACCCTCCTCCACGTACGGTGTCTCAAGTGCTAGGATCCTGTGTCCCTTGCACCAATCAGGAGGCCGCATTTTGCCTGTACATTATGCAGGCGAATTCGGCCTAATCAGGAGGCAGCGTCAGTCCTAGCGTGAGTCCTAGTGTTTACTTGGCGCTGGTTCGCGCCAGAACCGAGCCTTTTTCTCCTGGGTTCATCACTATCACAATGAGTTATCATCCTTGATGATAATTCCCAAAAAAGGAAAAAAGAAAAAAACAATCAACCCCTACCGAGTACTCAGACGCTTACTCCTTCGCGTACGTCCTCAAGTCGATGAGAGCCTGGAGATGATTGCGCCCCAAGTGCGTGTGTGGACCTCGCCCTGGATCATGACGGAGATGGACGGTACTTGGTCCTCATGACGATTACACTCATATATCCGCGCTCCAAAACCACCTTTTCGTACTCGATCGAGCCTCTCCGGGTCCACGTCGATCGATCGGGGAGCGCTCCTCTTGGCTTTCAGGGCTTCGAACGTCGGTGCAGAGACACGCACCTACCTATCCACGAATATCTATAGGTGCTTCCATCAACGGCCCGTGAAGGGGAGTTGCCGTCGATCATGATCAAACGCCCTCGTAACAGTCCCGGGATGGGCGCGCGACACGACGAAAGCCGCCCGCCCTCGTACTTCTTGTCGTCGGTCATACGGACGTGTCCAGCTGCTCAGGTCTAGGATCTTGCCGACGGACAGGGCGGAGGACTGCTTTCAGGCAGAAAACATCAGGACCGCGCGGCGTTGTTGTTTGGCGACGGCGTCCCACATGGACATGGTGCCCCGGGCCACACCCGCGCCAGAAATGCACAGACACTCGCTCGCACATGAGCATGTTCTTGGCCAACCACACGTGCAGCAGGTCCGAGTCCCTGGGCGTTGTACTCAATGATGTTCGTCACATCGCAGTCGGCGCTGACCTCGACGGCCATTGTGCCACCCTGTCCATCTTCGGCGGCAGGTCGAACCTCTCTCGGCCATCTCCGCAAGGGCTCGCGAGGGACGGCCAATTGCTGGTCGGCTCCGACCCAGGCCGTGTACATCAAGTCGACGATCATCGATCGTCCCGTTATTGAGCTTCTCCAGAAGATGCCGACTCCGACGTTTGCCCAAGCCGCTTGCCTCTCTCCTCGAAACGTGTAGCCAACCACGGGGTGGTCGGTCGCACTGGCGGACGAGAGAGTATACCCTCAGCGAGTTGAAGTGGAAGCCGTTTTGGATGTTCACGAAGTCGTGGGGCAGAGCGAGTTCGACTGATGATGTCGTACGAGGGAGGCCCTGGTCGCTCGCCTCCTCGTTTCCTGTTCACCTTGGATGACGCTGACGTTGCGCCCCCCGTCCGGCCATACGATCTCGTTCACTACGCCCGAACATGTGCACTACGCAGGAGCACCAACTCGCCTTGATTGGATTCCTTTGTCTTTTTCATGCGCTTGTCAAGCCACTTGTGCTGGTCCAGCACTTGTGGGGGCGGTGAGCCGCCCGCGGACCCAGGGTTGCCTCTAGAAATCTCCCCTCCGCCCATCATTCACGGCGATCGACTAGGCCTGCGATCCTTTCTCAGTTCTCGGATTTCCAATGATTGGGTTTCTCATACCCTTACCCTAGGCAAATGCACAATGTTAAATGTCCTCTTCCGCACGCTCAGAATGGAGAATCTCAACCCCTGGAAAAGCATCTGTGGGCAACAATACGGGGCTCATCGAGGGTGTACGCTACCTAGCCACAAGCGCAGCTACCGGGGGGGTCTCTTCCCCCGCCCTTTACCTCATTGTCCATCAGCTTCATATTTGACAAGAGATCTATAATTCTCGTTCTCCCCTTTCCTTTTGTCGTCGAACTCCTTGTCGTGCCAAACCCCCCGTTCGTGGTGACGATGCTGATGCCATCGATGGGGTCATGTGGCGGCAGCGGCATACCGTCCGTCCCCTCGCTTGATCGTTGATCGTGCTCACTTCCACGTCCAGACCGACTACCGACAACTAGGACAGGTCGCCGGGGCAGGTTCATGCCTGGGCCAGGCCCCCTGGGCGTGAGCAGGCTGTATACACCCCGAGATCGAGACGGCCCTCAACTTCTGGACCGGACCAACTGCTTTCATGTTTCGTGGTGATCTCGGGCGCGCTCACTACCCAGGTGGTCCGAGTCGAGTCGAGATTCACGATGATCTCCTGGGCCAGGCCACGGCCAGGGGTATATGTCCGTGGTCAGGACCACCACCCTCGTGGTTGCCCTTCCCGAGCCCGAAGGAGACGATCGGTGATGGTTGTTGCTCCAGTTCATACTCATACTCAGCTTCGGGTCCTCGATCCAGCCTCGAGATGATGACCCAGCCCCATATCCCATCAGCGCGCGCAGCTTGTTGGTGTCGACGACCTTGTTCACGACCACGCAGGTGATCAGGTCTCGCTGAGCGGGTACGCTTTCATCTCCACGGAGCTGTTCCCGGACACATCGACGACCTCGGCCGCCGTGCTATCCGTCCTCATGTACACGTTGCTGTCCGCCGCCGTCTACGTCGACACGGTCGTGTGCACATCCATGTTCATGTTTTAGCGTGTACAGCTGGGACCTACACGAATGTGTACCGCGGGTCGAGGTCGGTGACGCTCGTGCTGCTGTACGCGTCCACCAACTCGTTGACCTCTCCAACCGTTTGTCTTCAGGTGTTGCCTCAACATGGCCGGCTCACGACCCTCGGACACGGGGTTCTCGATCGAAGTGGTCGTGTTCACATGTGCGAGTGCGTACAGAACAGGTTCGATCGGTACTACGTGGTCATGAGCGACACTACGGACTCCGAGACGGTCGTGTCCGCCGACGGGGACAGCAACGAGGTCGTCACCATGGACGATACAGAGGCACGGAGGGAAAATCTGGTTTTTTCGACGACTTCCCGTGCTCGAGCCCCTGCCTTCAACGAGTGGTCGGACCAGGACCAGCAGATAATCAGGTGGGCGATCACGCCCAATTCCGTCGTGGTCAAGGACATCACGTACTACGTCTACTGCAGGAGGATGGCCTCGTGGTGGCAGATGGAGTCCCGACTGCCCACGGCGTCGCAGGAGTTATCGGACGTGGCCGGTATCAATGCCCCCCCAGTCAACTACGCGGCCGCGTTGAGGAGGCTTCCACCCGTTACTCACCACCAGGGTGGCTTTCCCGGTCACGCCCCTGACCCAGGAGTATGTGCATTGGGACGTACAGGCTCGTTCACCTTACTAGCCAGGACACTCAGCCTTCGTCACTTCCGGTCATCGCTCCGCCTCAAAACTCCTTCACCAGTTGCTCCTCTCTGTCCAAGTCTCCGTATCCCAGTCAACAGTGGTCCGCTTCTCGATATATTCCTGATGTTCACCGTCAGGTCCGAATCTGGGGGGGCCGATCTTGGAGTCCAAGCCGCACAAGACCGTGATCGACCACGAGAAGGGGGGACGAGCACGGGAGGATGTACATGTTCGTGACGTCGCCCTTCATTATCATGCCGTTCCCGTTCCCGTGCCCGCGTGAGGGCCGTCGTCGACCTTGAACGCGAAGTTCTGAACAACATCTTCTTCCTCCTGCTCAGGGACGACCAGAAGCTCGACTTCATGTGGCGGATCGGGAACGCGCTTACAGACCCGGCCATGAACCCGTGCGTCATCATCTTCCTACGGCCCGAGCGGCCAGGAGAGCAATAACGCGTTGAGATTGAACATCAACCGCATACTCGGCACCGGGGGCCAAGTGGACGACGGTCACAGACCTCATCGGGAAGGGCGTCCAAGTGCAGCCGGACTCGGACACAGTCATGAAGCTGGCTGAGAAGAGAGGCTCATCATCGTGTGCGATGAGTGCGGGATTGAGGAAGACTTCAACTACAACAACAACATCAAGCGGTGGACGTCCAACGCTCCGGTACAGTCCAAGAGCAGCGTGTCCGCGTACTTGTCCCAGACCATAATCGGCGGCGTTACCAACAAGCTCTGGTTCTGCACGAAGGGGGGGGGGGGGGGGGGCGAGAAAAAAAAACCCGGGAAGGGGGCCCGTCCGTTAAGGGAAGAAAAACGACGG